CCAAGCAAACCACCGAAAACCCCAGCAGGACCTTCATAGACTTAACCAGTCTTGACCGTCTTGCTGATATGAAACATAAAATAGCCATCCCTAAACCAAAACAACCAGATGTTGGCTCTGGTATTATGAATTTTGAAACAGGTGTGCAGCAATGGATTGCTTCTTTGAAGTAAGTCTGTCCTGGAATGATTGACCCAGCTGCTTCTGACCAGCTCTGGTCACAATTCAGACTTTGGGTACGTGCTGAAGCCCTCAAGTTGTAGGATATCAACTATGAGCAGGCACAACAGAACTTCAGCAAGCTGCTGAAGGAAGTTGAAAGTCAGCTGCCTCAAGAAGCTGTGCTCCCTCTGGATAGTGAACCTTGGTCTGAGAAACAACTAGCTTCAAAGGTGCAACCAGAAGAAGACAAGACCATTCAAGCTGAAGCAAGTCAAGCAGAAGATGTTGCAGAAAGCTCTCAGAAGCTTCCTGCTTCTGATGTTTCTCAAGCTGCCTTGGACAGGCAGACTCTGGAAGAACTGAAGCTGAATGACATGCGTCTGCAGCAAAGGATGGATGAAAACGACCAGAAGATGAAAGAAAGAATGGATGTGCAGGATATCAAGATTGACACTGTTGTCAGCATGGTGCACAAGCAGAATGAGACTGCTGATCAGATCAAAGCCATGCTGGAGAACCTGTTCACACGCTTTCCTCCCCAACCTTAGTTTTTTCATTCATGTCATTTTCATGTTTTCTTTAATTTTCTGATGTACTGTTTGAATATGTTTTGTTTGATTCTGAACCCTTTCAATATGACAAGTTTTTCTGATCTTAATTTGTTTTAGCACATCACCTACACTTTTTGATTGCTGACAAAAAGGGGGAGAACAAGAATGATATTTTAAACAATAACGGTTTACTAAGACAGAAATTCTCGAACATTCTAACTCCTTTATACTTGAAAATGTTTTCTGTTTTGCTTAAAGTCTACAGGCACAAGGAAGCTCCTGGACACTCTGAAGACTAAAAGCTCTGATCCGCTCTGATACTCTAATCCAAAGCAAAGCTCTGACAAGAAAAGCTCTGATACGTTGATCTGAAGCTCTGCTCTGATATGCTGATCCAAAGCTTATGATAGTCAAAGACTCTGATACTCTGATGTTCAAAGAAAGGCAAAAAGATCTGATCCTGAAGAACACTTGTAATCAAAAAGGGAAGTAATAAACTCAGGGGGAGTATCTCTCAACTCTGATATCCTGTTATCCCTTATCTTTGATAACCTCTTACTCTGATGCATCTCTCTGACACCATTTTCACGTTATTTTCATTTAAAAAATATCTAGTTTTTGTCATCATCAAAAAGGGGGAGATTGTTAGAACAAAGTTTGAATCTACTACCCTATGTTTAAGTTTTGATGATAACAAAGTGAAAAGATATATTATTTATATGATTCATGTATGAACTATCTGCTGCCTAAATTATTACGTTCTGATTTGCAGATACTCTGATTGATATAAGCAAGATCACACCTAATCAGCATCAGAATTTGGTTCCTGACATCAGCATCAGAAGTTGCCATATCAGAATGTCAGAATCAGAAGATTAACTCACGTATATGCTGAAGCCTGATGAACAGAACTGCGCTCAACACTCTGATAAAGAAACACAACAGTTCATCAGCAGCTAAGCAGAATCAGAATGAGCCAAGCCAAAACTTGCATTAAGTAAGCAACGGTACTGTGCATTGAAAGCAAATTAATACCAACGGCCTCATTCCAGACAAGATCTGCTCGATAAGGAAAGTTTGTTATTAGCATTGAATCAAGAATATTGCTCCAACGTTCAACATCTCAGTGCTATATAAACAAGACTTTGAAGATTGAATTGGCTAATGCTCTCCAATCTTTACACGCCTAAAAGCTGATCATAATCTTCCTTCTCTCAGTTTTGCTAAACACTACACATTCTCTTATTCAATCATTGTTTAGCAATCTAGTTTCTAAGCTTTAAGTTGTGTATACATCACAGTTGTGATACAATTTTGTAGAAAACATTCACACACTTAGATTTGAATCTAAGTGTAGGAGGCATGGATAAATATGGTGTGGATGCTTGGAAGGATAGCATAGGATCTGCAAAGGATTGTTAAGAAAAATAACATGTAGGAGGCAGGGATCGAACCCCCGACCTCCTACACACGTGCGCTTTGAAAACCTTTCCCTTTGCCATTGAGCCAATTGTTCAATCGTTAATATAAACAAACAATGTATATTATATTTAATAATGGTTAGTGGTTGTAATAAAAATTCGCGTCGTTCAAACTACTCAACCAGGTTTTGACACACAGACATCTTCTTCATTCAGACTGTTTTTTTAGGCAAGGGGTTTTACCTACGAATAGACGTTGTAACTATAAACCTGTATATCTCAAAAATTATAATCACGCAATAAAAATTTAATCCAAGAATACATATCATCTGGGTTTGATTTCGTGAGTCCAATGGTACTCGTCTTTTGCCCTGATTTTTCCTGAAACGAAAGACCCTAAAATGAAGCTTCAAATCCTAGCAATGGCATCCAGTCAAATATGCATCAAAACACACAATTAAATATGCAAACATGTTCTAAATGATCATATAAGCATGATTGTATATTTAAAAATCACTTATCATGCGTATATTTCAAAAACCAATTTCAAGAACAAGAACAAACCGTGATACCTGTATAGGCTGTTTCTTGGATGTGTTGATGCGTGAGAGTGGTCCAGATAGCTTCCAAATACGCCTAGGAATGGATTGCAGTCTTTGAAACGCCTTGAATCTCCCTCTAGAGAAAAACTCAATCACTACTTTTTGTCAAAATTTTGATCAGTCTTGTGGGTGTTCTACACGGCCCATTCCCTTCTTTATGATCAGGGTTTGTTATGCATATATAATAAAATGAATTAGGTTAACAAAACTGAACTGAATCTTGAAGATTGGGTGAGAAAAGATTTGATTTGGGTCTTGTATCTTTTATTTCTAACATAGGCCAAACCTTGTTATTTTATTCAAATGCATTTTCTTTGATTTGCCAGCCTATTTTACTCTTCATTTGATGAGAAAATCTTCTTTCGATTATGGGATTTCTGGCTTGTTTTGGAACAAAATGCCTTCCTTCTTTCGAATCTGCCTTCCTTTCCAGGCTTAAACCCCAATTCGAACCAATCAAGACTTTCCTTATTAGAACCTTGTTCTCCTTAATGGTTCTGAGTAGAAATGTGTCAGCTTCAATACTAAGGCTCCTTCGATTGGACCATCATTTACTTCGATTTCCTGTCATGTTGAAGAGAAGTCCTTGGTCGAATAAGCTCTTATGGAATTGTGAACAAACAAGGCAAGAATCTGGCCTGGACATATATTCTGATTGCCCTCTTAATGGCCTCTTTCAAATGGCCTGGAGGGAGTTATTCAAAGGGTCTTTGTCCAAATACCAATCGAAGGGTATTTATTGGAATGTCAACCGAAGAGTCCTTTTCTACGTCAATCGAAAGGCTTTGACACAATGCCCATCAAAAGGCTTGTCATGAGGCCAATCGAGAGGCCTTTTGCAGATGTTAATCGAAGGACGCTATGTGGATGTCAATCGAAGGACGCTATGTGGATGTCAATCGAAGATCATTTTGGAGATGCCAATTGAAAGGCATTTTGGAGATGCAAATTGAAAGGCACTTTGAAGATGCCAATCGAAAGGAATTTTGGAGATTCCAATTGAAAGGCACTTTGGAGATGCCAATCGAAAGGAACTTTGGAGATGTCAATCGAAAGTCATTTTGGAGATGCCAATCGAAAGGCACTTTGAAGATGCCAATCGAAAGGCACTTTGGAGATGTCAATCGAAGGGCATTTTGCAGGTGCCAATCGAAGGATACTTAACCATTATTTGAAAATTTTCCTTGTCTTTAGGCAAAGATTTGTAACTACCTATGCAAGAGGAAAATCTTGGAAAAATATGAGAGGGAAAATTTTAGGGTACAACATATACCAAGTCCAATTGATCATCGAACTTACGGGAAAAACCCTCAGCAGTCTGACATAGGAAAACTAAGTTAAATCAACATACTTCAACCACAATACAAGGTAACAACGAGAAATTGAAAGCCCGAATTAAACCTTCGTTGAATTTCTTTCCTGATCAAATTCTTTTCTGACAGGAGGACCTCAAACCTTAACCTCCTGCTCTGTTTGTTTCATGAAACATTTTTACATTGAAACATGTGGAGTTCACAACACGGAACAAATATGAATACAATCATATATTATATGATCCAATACTTGAAATATAATGTAAGAACTGAAAATCATATCTATTTAAGCTATATAACTTGTGATTATATCAACTAATCCTAATTAGGAGATTAAAGAGAGTTGGTACAAATTACACGAAAATCAAGGATATTTCATGACATCTAGAAACAAAGGCACATTCCTTAATCTGATTCAAATTCACATAGTTCCATTTAGTTTCCTCCCTTTGATCAATCCAGGAAAGAATTCTCCATGAGGCCTTACGTCCTCTATCAACATTCTTGTAAGCAACTAACAAAAGGTCTACAAGTGAGAGCATTTAAGCAACACCAACATAGGTATCGGTATATACACACATAAGAACCAATAGACAAAGCAAACTCACAAACAGAAGAAAAAAAACTTTCTAGAAAATGAAACAGATACTTAATTATTATTGCAGAATTGGCCGGAGTTAACAAATTAAAGCTAGGTACCTGAATATTTAAGTTCCGAAGTAAATTCATTGAGCTTCAAATTGACAAATGATTGAAACCAAATAAAATGAACACTTAAAAAATAATTGGTTGAAGAGATACCATAGTGGAGAAATTTTACCATGTTTGAGATCCATTTTTGCATGTTCCTATAAATGTGCAAGTTCATCTTACCTGCACACCATACAGTGGTTTTCCAGTAGTGCATGCCTTACGTTCGCCTATCAATGGATTTGACAAAGCCATGACCAATTATTTCTTCCTCAGGCTATAATATGAAATATATAAGGTACTTATGTTATTAACTTTCACATGAGCAAAGATCTATAGATAAATCAATTGTTTGAAAGTTAAGATGAAAGGTACAAAGACAATGTCAAAGGAAGATTAACGAAGTCTTGACTTCATAATATTCAAAATTCATATGTTAAATAAATAAAATAAAGGGATTATTACGGAGCTATGTAAAAAAGGAGGATTTCTAAAGCATACTTCTAGATTTCTCGAGAATCATTTGCTTTATATCTATTTTTCTCCAATTGTTTTAGTTCCCAACTTGTTGAAAAATTCAAAATAAAAGAATTTGAAGAATAAGAGATTTTTTCATACATATAGTATACAAAGTTTGCTTCACTATACTTCATATTTTGGAATGAATGAAAACTAGATGGATACATGGACTACCAATGTTTTCATATGTGGCTTTTGAATCCAAAAATAAAACTATACCTTACTTTACATAACTATAAACCTTTCTACCTATCTAACATCTATACAACATCATGCCACATTACACATTCCATGCGTCAAACACACAGTAATAACAACTACACATTAATTTACAATATACTCCTTTCGGTCTCATTTATAAGAAAAAATTAACTTTTTATACACATTCCAAATACATTACTTATTCAATGTATATAAAAAGTTAATTTTTTTTTATAAATGAGACCGGAGGGAGTATCACTTTTCAAAAGCTGTCAAACATATAGATTAATTAATATCACATAAAAATCTTTCTAAACATGTTTTTCTCATTATCATTTTATCAAACACCTAGAAGACATTTATATAAGTAGAAAATCAATAAATTATAGCTTAAGACCATCACGAAGATAAAGTACAATCCAAATTAAGTACCTAAACCATGCATTTAAATTGTGATTCACATCACCAATTGCAGCTGCATAATTATTCATGGGTAGTCTTTACAACGATACCAAAATCACAATTGTGGCGGGATTTGAAATAACGTGGCAAGAGAACCCCTCCATCCTTTTGCTTCTACACACAAAAGAAAACATTTCACACAGGTATTCATCATGATAACATACCCACAAATAAAGCCCTTAAAACATTCACTAAAAATCGATTCAATTTTGTACCTTAATTAAAAAGAAATCTAATTCATTACATGTGTCAAAAGCAGAAGGAGATGAAGAGATTTGATATGCGATATGACATACTCGATATTTTGAAGAAGAATGAGAGAGAAATAGAGAGAGATATTTGAGAGGAAGATATATTTTGGGGTGTTTTGTTTCAACTGTAGCAGAGAGATATTTTAGGGCTTTTGAAAGAAGTGTGAAGGAAAAAAAGAGAAAAACGTTAACACGGGAAACGAATCACATTGAAGCGCTCTTTTAATTTCCATGGAATGTGACGGCAGTAGGTGAACGGTCATGAATGTTAAGTGAGGTCGGTTCCTCTAACCGTCGCAGGATTTGAAGTGGTGTAATATTGTGCAACTGCTTTTAGTCATTAGAAAAAGCCGGCATTTGACCCCAAATCACCCGTCGCAAATCCTGGGTTAGGGCGGTTTTGGTAACCGTCGCGGGCCTTGAAATGAAAAGGCTCAACTTTCTCAAGGGTCACAACACACGTGTCGTAAAATGGATAGTTTCTTGTAGTGATCCTTCTGATTCTCATGCTTTTTACAATTTGTGATTTCATTGAGATTTGAGTGAGATATTCTAGAATTTCGTGCTCGCTATTATTTCTGCATTTTCTCAATTTAAGCTTTGCCCAGTTTATATAAATTTAGCGCGATTGTACCATTAGAATCGTCTTGAAGAGACGAATCTAATGGTACCGGTGTGGTTCTCTAATTTTACAGTTTGAGGAATTCCAATCTAGGGCGTCTAGAGGTTGAAGACGAACTACATGTCGTGCTTAAACCATTGAAAGTGTGGCATGTGAATTTTTGAATTCAATCCATGGTGTTTGCTTTATCATACGCGCGTTTTGAGAGCCGTTGGATCTGATTACTTTCATGAGTCAGACTCCATCCAACGCGCCAAAAATTCAGTTGTTTTAATATTTAAAAGGTGATCCGGTGCAATTTTCAAAGTTGACCATGATATGCACAACGTGCTTGATCCTTTGGATCTAATTACTAGCGTGTTTTGACTTTCATCCAATGGTCCACATTTTTTGTTTTGTCATTTTATTTTATGATTTTTTATTTTAATTGATTTAAACTTTAAAAAATCATAGAAAATTGACTTCTGACTAAAAAATTATGAAAAAAATTCACAATTTTTTTTTCAAATATTCTCTTTCTAATTTTTATTTTTCATGATTTTATTTTATGATTTGATATTTTTCATAATTTCTCCTTTGTTTTAACTTATTTTTAATCATTTAAAAATACTTTTTTATGTTATTTAAATTGTGAAAAAATTTATAAAAATCATTTTCTTTATTTTTGACTTTCTGAAATTTTTCTAGACTTTTATTTTGATTTACTATTTTTTATCTCTTTTTCACTTATTTGAGTGATTTTAATTAGTTAAAAAAATACTTTTCTGTTTTAAAAATTATCAAAAAAAATTTATAAAAAAATTTGAGATCACTTCTGACTTTTCTATGGTCTCTCTTAATTTTTCTTTGATACTTTGAATATAGTTTACTATTTTACCTTTTATTTTCATTTTAAAAACAATTTAAAAATCATTTTTCCTTTTTATTTTATTCATTAATTAAAATTTATTTATTTTAATATATTCTGGCCATGTGATTTTTTATCATGAACTTCATTAACATCATTGGATCTTGGGTGTTGAGTTTAACTCCATCAAAATGGATGAATGATTTTAATGATAGTTTGATTAAAATCTTTAATTCAAATATTTCCCTCCCTCTTCATCTTATCCCTTTCTTACTTGTACTATATGTTATTAGAGGATGATTTACATATTATTTCTCTAACATATGGTACATAGATTTCTATTGACCAACCTCAAAATAGGTGCGACTTCTATATAAGTCCACTTACGATTGCTTAACATAACGGTAAATTTTGTCCCGATTCAAGAAATGATTATTCATAGCCCAAACCTATGTTTGCAAGCCCAAACATGTTTAATTTGAAACCTTTGATCCAATAACCTTGAGATCCATTGTGAGGAGGCTTTGGTCTTATCAATCCTCGAATGAATCTTCATAAATTTTGGAACTAAGTGAATCTTTAATCATTTATTGTTGCCTTGAGATATTGTAATGAATGATATACTTGACAAAAAGCAAATAAAACTTGTTGTTGAGAGGCTTTGATTTTATCAATCTTCTAATGAGTTTTCAAATGCAAATTCAACTAACCTCTAATTTCTAACAATTGACTTTATCTTATGCCTTTACTTTATGCTTTTTACTTTTAGAACGTTTATTTTAGCATTTACATTTCATGCTACTTTCATCTCTGCTCATTTGAGCATTTATCTTTCTGTCATTTTTATTTTTGCTCACTTGAGCTTTTCATTTCTTTTTGAAGATACCTAATGACCAACTTGAACAATAAAATAACTTTAATGTTACTTGAACTATTTGGTTACTATCCTTGGCATTTTGGAGTTATGGACTTCTTAGACTTAGGATTAGAGATATTGACCTACCTGGAGACCTTGGTGACTTCTATTATTATCTTGTCTGGAGTTCTTGGGGTTTACCCCGAGACATTAGGTTGTTTGTTTGCTTTGTGTGCAGGTTATTCTGATTATATGCTTTGTTTGTGATTGAGAATTCATCTGTATACATCCATTACTCTGTCCAATTTTTTTGTGAAGACTTAATGCATTTGAAGCTTGGTTTTCCTAAGAGGTTTATTATCTTTGCTTGTTTGGTTCCAATCCAAAGGATAAGAATTCTACATTGACTCATTGTGTCAAGTGTTGGCTTTTTGTTGGTTATACGGTTCTTTTCCCTAGCTTTTACCCTTATGCTTTGGATAGTCCCTTCATCTCCTCCCATCTTCTTTAATTTCAAAAATCTTCTCCCTCCTTTTCGAAACTATTCTTGTTTTATAAATTTGAAATGCTTTCACAATAACCTTGGACTTAGGTCCATGCATTTTCAAAAATATTTTTCTTAATCAAACTTTAAACAACTTAATCATACTTTGACATTTTTTTGTGAGAAGACTAAAAGTCAATCAATCTCATTCAAACCATTTTTTCCATTTTGGATTTTTACTTTAAAATTTTCTCAAAAGATTAGACTCTTGTCAACTCTTATAGTGATGCGAAGTGCTATACTTCTACGATATATAGTGAAGTGAGATGTTTTACACTTAGGTGTTGAGCGATGTTTTGTTGATTTTAAAATCCAAGTCATATCCTCTAATTTGAGATGATGTAAATTCTCCTTTCTCATAATCGTGGACAGTAAGTATGTTTTCCACTCGGATAAGACAATGATGTCTCATCTCTTAAAATTAACCAACATACCTGTGTTAAAAAAATTTTAAAGGTGAACTACGAGTACCCTGATCCCCTATTGCATGGAAGGTGGTATGTAGGCAGTAAAGTTTCACAACCGCGGCGGGAGTAAAAATTGTAAAAAATACTTCTCAGATTGCAAGACTCGCGGGAAAGCGTCAGTGTGTGAAGTGATCTTCACCATCTTTGCTTTCTTAGAATTTTAGATTCTATATTCTTTTGTACTTGGGATTGTTGAAACTTGTACTAAAAAGTTGAAATCCATTTTGAAGTTATTATAATAAGATTTTCAGTATTTCAAAATGTGTTAGTACTTAAATATTGCAAATTGTCTATAAACCTTTGAGTTCCTTGAAATATTAATAATAATCAAATAAATCATATGAATTGCATATCATGCATCATCTTGCACATATTTCTTGCATTTCTGTTCATACTCAGGTGTCTTACTGTGTTTCTCTACTTCGTTCAGAAGTAAGTTGTCTCACCAGTATAATACTCGGGCTAATTCCAGGAAGAAAATGGAGAATCTTGAACAAGAGAATCACAAGTTGCGCGAAGAGGTTACTACTTTGAAGGCCGGTATGGCCAATCTGGATACTTTTATGGAATCATTGGTGGCTTCTTAGAATCATCCACCACTTTCTCAGCCTCAACAGACAACGGTTTCTTCCGAAGCTCCGACAGTTCCCGTTTCTGTTACTCCAGTTACTATTGCTCAGAATCGTATGCCTCAGGGTTATCCGTCGGGAGTGCCAGAGAATTTCATGCCAGAGGGTTACAATCTTGATACTCAAGTTGCTCAATTTGCTCCAACTGCTGCTGTTTCTGCACCTCCTCTGGTGCATGTTACTTATACGGCTAGAAAGGAGATCCACTATAATGCACCTCCTTCGGTGAATGCTATGTTATTTGCTAATGATGAAGTTTATCATCCTGATCCTCCACCGAGTGAAAGTATGGATTTCTATGACCATTTGGATGACTTTCAAGACCAGTTCAATGAGATGCAGAAGGAAATTAAGGCACTTTGAGGAAAAGAATTGTTTAGACAGAATGTAAGTGAACTCTTCCTAGTTCCCAATGTAAAGGTGCCAGTGAATTTTAAAGTGCCGAAATTTGAGTGGTACAAGGGCAACTCTTGCCCTCGTGACCACCTCGTGATGTATATCATAAAAATGTCTACCCATACTGATGATCAGCGTTTGCTCATTCATTTCTTCCAAGATAGTTTAATTGGTTCTACTCTAAAGTGGTATATGAATCTAGACAATAGTAGTATTCGTACCTTCAATGATCTGGGAGAAGCCTTCATTGAACAGTATAAGTACAATATATTCTTGGCGCCTAACCGTGACCAGTTAAGAGTAATAGCTCAGAGAAACAAGGAGTCATTCAAAGAGTATGCACAACATTGGTGCGAGATAGCTGCCCAGGTGGTACCACCTATTGGAGAACAAGAAATGAACAAGGTCTTTCTCAAAACCCTTAGATCATTTTATTATGAAAGGACGGTCTCCAGTGCACCTAGTAATTTTACCGAAATGGTAAGCATGAGTGTTTATTTGGAAGAGGCTGTTAGAGAAGGGCGCTTGACAAAAGATGAAGGGACAAAGAAGTCGTCATACGGGTTCTCTCGAAAGAAAGAAAGTGAAACGAATGCTGTTATTAGGGAAAGAAAGATTAGGACACCTAGAAGGCATCAGTGATACCAGCAACATGTTACTTCTATGACTCTTGTCGTCAATGTAGCTCCAACCACCGTTTCATATCAAAGACCATCTCCTCAAGGGAAGCAAGGGCAAAGTCAGAAGAGAAAATCCTTTGACTCAATTCCAATGAACTATGCAGAGTTACTTCCAGCTTTGATTCAGAAGAAGTTGGTTCAGACCATGTCGCCCCCTGCTATACCATCACCTTTACCTTGGATTATAAGGCAGACCAGTCGTGTGCTTTTCATCATGGAGAACCAGGGCACAATATTGAGAACTATTATCCTTTGAAATCTGAAGTACAAAAGATGGTGAGGTATGGCCTCTTATCCTTTAAATATGTTAGCCATAACGTGAAAGATAATCCTTTGCCTAAGCATGGAGGAGCAAGTGTTGTAAACATGGTTGCTGGTTGTCCAGGGGACTTCCAGATTTTTGATATCAACCTGGTTAGAAGAGATTTAGTAAAGATGCATGCTGATCTCTACGAGTTCAATAATTA